AAAAAAAAAAAAAAAAAAAAAAAAAAAAACCAAAAAAAAAAAAAAAAAAACAATTAGTTAAAACCATACTTGCAAGCGCATGTCGTGCAGACAGTTCCCTACGTGCGACGCACCTGCCCAACCGATCCCGCGTGGCGCACGACGTGTGCGGGGAACGACCCGTCACCCCCCTCAGAAAAAAAAAAAAAGAAGGCCGGGGTCGAAACGGTGCGTTTGAGGCCCCCCGCCAAAATTATAAGCAGGATGAAAAAAAAAATTACAGGAGTGCTGCCTCACCTTGCTCCTCCTCCCCTTCCTCATCCTCCATGTCTCCTTCTCCCTTCTCCTGTTCGTCCCCCTCCTCCTGCCCTTCCTCATCCTCCTTGTCTCCTCCTCCTCCGCGTACTTCCTCATCTTCCATGCCTCCTCGTCTCCTGCCCTTCCTCGTGTCCTCCCCTTCCTCACCGTCCATGTCTCCTCCTCCTCCCACTCGTCCTCCTCCTCCTGCCCTTCTTTTCCCTCCGTCCATCTCTTCTCCTCCCCCATCTCGGTGACGACTCCTCGTCGTCCTCCTCATCCACATCCTCCTCCTCCTCCTCCTCTCCATATCCCCCTTTCCTCGCCATATCCCCATCTCCCTGTCATACATCCCCCCGTCCCCCCTCTCAAAAAAAGATAAAATAATAATAATAAAAATAAAAAACCTGCACGATTCCGCGCAGGCACCCCCCACACGAAACTCCGCACGAATGTGCGGCTCGTGCAGTTGCAAGTATGGTTAAAACTGACATTTTTCTTTTCCGCTGAGCAAAATTGGGCTTCGTAGAAAACCATGGCTACAATCCGTACATCCGGACTGCCATCCAAACGATCGGGATCCAGACTTACATCCGGACGTCCGGCCTGGAAGGTCCAGATCAGACAAAATACGGAAAAAAAAAAAAAGAAGGGGCGGCGGTCGTCCAGGAGCCATCCTAAGATTGGGGCCGACCCCAGAAAAAAAAATTTTCCTGGAGTTTTAAGGTCCATTTGATTTTCTTGGCGGGGTCCGGACATGGCCCAAAAGTGACTTCGCGGCATTTGCGCCAAGTTCGCAGCCTTGAGATATGTAGTCATGCTTTTGTGCCCATTTGTGTGTGTTATAGATTTTCCCCGCAACAGCCCCAATTCCACCCAGATGAATAGATTCATAATCAAAGCAGTCTTTGTCCTATTGCAGACAACGAGAGCATTTGAGATGAGACAGTCCAACATATTAAAGCAATTTTATAATTAGACAGTTTTTTGGTTGTCCTTGGGGTACCCCTTCCATTTGTTCTTGCAGCTCCCCTTCTACTGTGCCTCTTACGTACAAGGCTGCCCACGTTGATTGTGGTTGAGCGGCAGCTGCCCACATCCCCGTGTACCTTCAAGGCCCACTTGTGCATTATTTCAGGAGGCAGAGTAAAAGGGAAGGTATGCTCCTGTGCTTTTTTTCTCTTCAGGCCTTCATACTCCTGTTCATTTCACTTCAGATCTTAAGCTTATACTTAGTCTTTGTGTCCATCCTTCATCTTCATACTTCCGTTCATTCATTTCTGATCTTCATATCGTCTGTTCTCTTAATGATGCTCATTCGTATGCATTTGTTAGTAGCACCAAGGGAGTGGCAGGGRGGGTAAAGGGAAAGAGATAGTTCTAAACATTCACCTCTGGAACAGACTACTCTAGAATGGCACAGGGTTGCAAAAAAAATAAAAAATTGTTGGGTTGAGGAGCAGTTAATGTCTATGGTTAGTGGCCACCCCTACAGACCGGACAGGACCGGTTCAGGTGTGGACTATAGAAGCACTGCATCCAATTTTCGCAGTCACAGTTGCTGCATCGAATGGCGCGGCGCAGACAGATGTCACAGGCTACGTGGCTCCTACATGCTAGGAACACAGAGGCACGTCAACCGCATTTATAGAGGCATTGCCGTTCCAGCCCCTGTCTACAAATTGGACATGACATGTCAGGGTGCCGTACATGAGTACAGTACTGACTGTCGTCGTGCGTATGGAAGCAAAAACTCGCATGGACTATCCCTTCATAATCCTCACCGCACAAGGCATGCTAACCACATGCTAGTTGAATCTCCGGCGGGTCGTCACAAAGCGGCATGGAGCATCTTTCTTGGGCTTCCTTAGTATTTATTCCTTCTCTATGGGCAGACGACGACAGGGAGGATCGGTCCAAAGCAAGGGCGTTCAGTTGCTGCAGGATTTGGTCCGCTAAAACTTGCCCTGGTGGTGATAAACTATGAGCACATCGCTCTGCCGGTGGTTCATGTAGAACTTAGAAGTCTATTTTCTTCCTCGGACTGCTCTATCTGTGTGTGTGTGTGTGTGTATGTGTGTGTGTGTGTGTGTGTGTGTGTGTGTGTGTGTGTGTGTGTGTGTGTGTGTGTGTGTGTG